TACTGATAGCCCCCTGGACTGCCGTGGGCCGGGACAGGCTTAAAAACAGGCCCCGACTTCAGACTTGATCATCCTCTTGATCCACGCTCCACACTGCCTTGCTCCACGGACGGCAGAAGAACGGCCAAACCTCCAATCGGGAGACTTGGTCGCCCTCCTCCCGCTGACTCAACCCAACCAGACGGCAGCCACCCAAAGACGGATCCGCCGCTGCCCGCAGAGGACGCCACTCTTCCCCGGGAACCCCGTTAAGCCTGAGCCCACGGCACCAGGAACCTTGTGAGTAATAAAGTGCTGTGTGATTTGCAACTGCATATTCTTGTGTGGCGTAATTCCTCCTCCGACAGTCTTAACTATCCTATATAATGAAAGGGTAATGTGCAAATGACTAAACTACTGAATCACTGGTTGCTATGACGTGCACTGACCACCAGAGGGCAGACACTCAGCGCAGGAGCTGCCCCTGGTGGTCACTGCGCTCCCACAGGGGGATCTCTGCTCAGCCACAAGCCCTGTTGAAGGCTGGCTAGCACAGCGGAGGTGGCTGGAGCCTATTCCGCCTCTGCAGCCCTAAGGTTGTCCGACTGCTAAAGGGCACAGGCTGAGCTGAGAGGACCCCCCTCACCCCCCCAGTACATGAATGTCATGCACTGGGCCTCTAGTGTCAATATAAGGTCAGATGATAATGCCTACCTCGGTCCTGCTTGCTTAGAGTAGTCTCTTTGCTGGCAACTACTTAATGCCCGAACACCTGCACCGTTAAGTTTATCTCAAGGGACGCCTTGGATAACGCCCCATATTCTCTACTCGGACAGCTGGGCTCCTGGGCTCCCAGTGTCAGGCAGAGTGGGGTCCTGATTCTGACATGGGCTCCCTGACCCCGCCTGGTTCCTGGCTCCTGCTCTCAGCGACAGTCCTTCATTCAGAGGAACGCACTGCCTATTGCGCTCTGCTGTTTGTTGGTGATAGTGGTGTGACCCGTCAGGGCTGCCCTCGGGGAACTTGCCGTCTGGTGGGGGGACAGACAAGAAGCCGGTTGACAAGCAGGCAAATGCGTAATCCCGGGGGAATGAACGGTGCCCTGACAGCCAGCAGCCAGAGCTGTACTTGAGCTGGTGCTCGAGGGGGCTTCCCGGAGGCGGTAACAAGCAAGTAGAGGCGAGGATAAAGGAGGAGGGAGCAGACCTGGGCCAGGAAGAGCAGTGCAGGCAGAGGGAGCCGCGAGAGTAAAGGCCCCGAGGGGGAAACGTTCCAGCATGTTCCAGGAACAGCAAGCACCAGAGGCCTGGAACAGAATGTGCACAGGGAGCAAGGGGGCCGTGTGCTGGGGGAGCAGCCAGGCCCCCCTCTAGGGTTCACCCTGCCGGCGATGGGAAGACCTTGGAGGGGTCTGAGCAGGGGGTGTCACGGTCTGACTGACGTTGGAACCAACACGCCGTCTCTTACAAGAGCCGCTTTACCCCAGAGCCCAGGCTCAGAGAGGTCACAGGGCTGCCACCGAGTCCAGCGCACCACCAGCTCCCACGAGGCCACAGTCACGCCCTTTCCCGCCGGGCCCCCCGTTAGAGTTGGGGCCTCTCCTGATGCCCTGAAGAGGGAGGTTGTTATCTGGGTTCACCGGCCGCTCCCCCTCATGTCAGGGCCAGCCCTCGTTTTCCTGTTCTGAGTGTCCTCGTGGCCTGGACGTAGCAGGTGACTGACACTATTTGCTGAAGGAACCAATGCAGGAAGGGCCAGCCCACCTCTAGGGGCTCTGGTGGCTTCCCAGGAGACAATGAATGGAAGCCCCGCTCCAGGCCGTGCATAGTGAAGGCCCAGTAAGTGCCGGCGCTAGCAGCACTGTCATCGTCTGTTTGATTTTAAAGCCCATGCTCTAGATCTCTATGCTGAGGATTAATTGAGCCAAATGCCACCCACCGACCCCTGGTTTCTTGACCTTTAAAGGAGCTGCGAAGCCAGGGGTGAGTCAGGCCTGGGGCTACAGCTGCGCTAAAGGGCAGGCATGTCAGACACAGCACGGCACGTGGATACCCAGCCTCATCCATCCCCTACCGACTACAAAGACTCGTGGTCTCTCCGGCCAGCCCTGAGCTGGGCGGCGGGGGTGCCAATGACAGGAGTGGGAGGTGGGGGTGGGGGGTGGGGTGTACAGCTCATGAAACTCCAGTCCCCAGGGTGTTTCTCCGAATGGCCACTTGGTGGCAGCACGTCCCCAGGAATATGGGGTTGAATCTGAGGCTCAGGAACTGAGGGAGGAAGGATGGAGAAAACCCAGGCCCAGAGAGAGGTTGGGACGGGCCCAGGGTCACACAGCTTTCAGTGGCGGGGCAGGGCCAGGCGAGAGGTCACCGCCTGCCGGATGGACTCAGGAGCAGAGCAGGGGAGGAGGGGGAGGAGCAAGCTTGGAGAGGGAGGGCCTCCTGGGAGTGGGTGGGTGTTCTCACCCCCATTTCAACCCCTAGAATCCTACCCATCTGGAAGAAGGTGCTCAAACCTCCCCTCTGAGACCCTCATTGACCCCTCTCACCTGTGACTCCGGCAAAGGTGGCAGCTCTCCCCCTGCTCCCACTAGCACTTGGATGGTGACCTCATCACCCAGTCACTGTGCCCACTGTCTGTCTTCATCCCCCTCCCCTGCCACAGTGACTTCTTGAGAACAGGGACTGTACCGTGCGCCCCCTACTGCCTGTACCACTGTGCCCTCTGCCTGTCACCCTGCCCCTCTTCCTGGCCTGGGTACCACCAGCACTTCCTTCAGGACTCAGCTGAGATGTCACTTCCTCCAGGAAGCCTTCCCAGCCTTTGGCTCCTGCTGCCGGGGAGGCCTGTGGGGCAGGGTTGTTGGTGGACCTGAACCCCCCTCCCCCCGAGTGTACACAGACACTGTGCATCCTGAGCCTCTGACAGTGCGCCTCGTTGGCCCTGAAGCCGCCCGTGGAGCTTTGTGAAAATGCAGCCTTCTAGATGCCCCTTCCCCAGACTCAACACACAGGACTGTGACAGAGCCCAGGACTCTGAACATAAGACACCTCCCTGGTGAGCCTGAGGCAGGGCCCGGCCATCTGGAGGCCCTTTAAGGGTGCCATCGGCCCTGCCCCCTGAAATAGTTGGGCAAAATGATTATGATGAGGGGACAATAAAAACCTGACATCTGTGCCAAGTGAGTCACTAACAAAACACCTTCACACCCATCTCTCCCTTTAATCTCCATCTTTACAACTGCTATCTTGGGAGGGATCACCATCCCCAGTTTACAGATACCCACGGCTCAGGGCAATGGGCAACTTGCCCCAAATCCCCCAGCTACAAACTAGCCGAGCTGGGGTTTGGTCTGGGGATGTGCTGAGGAGGCAGAGCTGCAAGCTATGTTAAAGCTCCTAGGGTTGGAAATGGCTGTTTGCCGAGGATCACAATTCCAGAACTCAGGACACATATACTTGGTCTGACGTCCCAGGCGTCTGGTGATCCCTGTGGAGGAAGCTCAAGCCACTGACTGCCACTGTCCAGGTTCAGGCCCTCGTCCTCTCGTTCCCTCTCCGCCCATCCGTGTCCTCTCCTCCAGGGCCCGGAGAACGTCCCCTTTCATATAAGGTCTCAGGTATTTTGATGCACTTCATCCTCAGCCAGATATTGTCCCAGGTTCTGTGGGAGATCGGAGGGCAAGACCGGCCACCAGAGGCTTCCTGTCCCGCGGGGGAGGCAAGAATGCTTACTTTGGTGATGGAACAAGGCGCTCCAACTTTCTTTCCTCTCAAATAAATGCACGGTCCCAACCTCACCCTTTAATTGGCTGGAACATGTTCCATATGCTGTGTGGGCTGGCCCTGGAGACCCCTCCCCGACAACATAAAGTGGGTCAATATTTTCACTCTAACAGGCATTACAAAGCAACCTGATTTTCTTTTTCCTGTTTGTCACAGTGCCACCTGTTGATGGACACCCAGCATCCTATGGAAGGGATGATAAAGTCGGTACGTAGGAGGGAGAGAGACGGGGTCACGGTGAACTTTAAAATCATGTTAAGGTGTCCTGAACTGCGGAGCAGTGGGTACATGGGAAGGTTGTTGCTATGGTGGCATCTGCACATCTGATGAGGCTCAGATTAGCTCCCTCAGAGAGCGGGGTGAGGCTCCCATCAGGCCGTGGGCTACTAGGATAGTCATCTTTCTGCACCTCTCCTTCTCCCTACACCCCTGGCAGCTAGGGAAGGAAGCTGGACAGGCCTGGGCCCATGCTTCCTGGGGGAGGTGGGTGCCAGGGCTGTGGCTCTGGGAGCACCAACCCCCTCCGGGGAACCCGCTGTACACAATAGCAGTGGCAGCAGAGGCTGGTGGGGAGACGAGGTTCGGACTCCTTGGCTGGGGAGCCCTGATGGCATTTCCTGACCCTCAGTGGGACTCCAGGGGGTTGTTCCTCAGGGCTAACAAAGGAGATGGGGTGTGAGGAATCTCTCACCAAAGACCATAGGAAGCATCTGCCTCGGCGCTTAGCTTGCACGTGGGGAAAGGAAGCATATAAGAGGAGGGAAGGTAACTTGTCCGGTTTGTCAATAGCAGATCTACTGGACACAGGTGTGCACGTGTTGAACGGGCGCTGGAGGAGGCCGCCGTCTCAAACTCAAGATCTGAATCTTAGACCAGATCTTGGATGGGTGGCTCTGGATAAAATCCCTTCCCCTCCTCTTGCATTTAGGCTCCTGGTTTGCAAAACTGGGATTAGGCTGCCCTGGACACTGCCATTGTAGTGGAGGAGTCACAGCACGATAGGACAGGGCGCTGAAAAGGTGGAAGGGTTTGTAGGTCATTGGACTTCGCCGAAAGTCTCCCCAGCAGAGGATGCTTCCGTTGCCACGGCAACCGCCTTGCCGGCGTGGTCCCTGGCGTCCCGCTGAGGACGCTGGGAAGAACCCTGCCCTTACCAAGATGGCGGCGGCCTCGGGGCAAGGGGCGGGGTCGAGCGCTGCCGGCCTGTCCAGACCTTCCCTCTGTTTCCGCTTTCTCAGGCTAACGGCGAGCTTCCGTTCATACCGGTTCTCTTTCCTGGTTCCGGGAGCCCCCGGGGGCCAGGGAGGGGAGGGTTGCCTGCAGGGATCGGGGCAAATACCCAGAGAGGGAAGGCGTGACTTCCGCGTCCCTCCGGAAGTGACGCGACAGTCGCGGCCGCCGACAGGTGGAACGGCAGGTGGGTTCAGGTGCCAGCCTGGCCCGGACCGACTGTGGGACCGGCGCTTCCGGTGAGCCACAGAGGCTGCTCCTAGGGCCTGGAGACCCGTGGGCGGCTCTAGGACCTGCGCCCCTCGCCCTGGCCTGGAGCCCCCCCCTGTTCTTAGTAAGAATCACCTACCCCCCGCCGCCCCGAGGGGAGGGCGCCAGGGTTGCCCGGGCTGGGGAGCATCCAGGCACTTCGGTTCCCTAAGCCCTGCGCTCTTTTCCTCCCGGATCCAGTTCTCTGTGCCCCTGCCGAGCTGGGCCGTTAGCCAGCCCACCTCAGCTCTCGGAACCATGTTTGCAGACTTGGATTATGAAATCGAAGAGGATAAACTGTGAGTACTTTGTTCCCCCAAGTCCCCAAAGTGCAGGCGCCCCAGGCCCCCCAGATCCCCGTGCTCCCCAGGCCCGCCTACCCTTGCTTCTCAGCGGACGTGGTCTTGTCCTGGAGCAGAATGGACCCTTCCCTTTCCGGAGCTCACCATCCCTGGGGGCGTGGACTCATGGACAGGTCATTACAGTTAGGCCCTGAGGGCCTGGCTGCAAGGGGAGCAGGGCCGATGGAGCAGGGGGCCAGGGAAGGCTTCACAGGGGAAGGGCAGCTGAGCCAGGTTTGGAAGGATGAGCAGGGATATCGAGCTGACTGCCTTCCCCGGGGTAGACAGCTAGTGGGACAGGTTTTCAGAAGTTCTGCTCGTCTCCTGAGGTGAATCCTCCCTCCCTCAGAGCAAGGACTGGGTCCAGTGCCTTTTTGTGTCCTCGGCATTTTGTAAGGTGCTCGGCGTCAGTAGCTGTTAGCAAATGTTTGTTGAATGAATGAGTGAATGAGAATACTGCAAAGCATAAGTAAGTGCTCATTTCTAGTGAAAACTGAGCGGTAACGAGTAAAGCAGTTGAGAGATGGGTGATGGGAAGTTTAACAGGACGAGAGCATCATGTCCCATATGTACCTGAGGAGGTGACAAGTCTGACTCAAACCTCAGGGGGGGAATGAAGCAAAGGGAGGGGGGGGGGGCTATTTTCATGGAGTGCTTGCTGTGGGCAGGGTTGGTGTTAATTGTCCTTTGGGCTCTTTCTTACGAGAACTCTGATAAAGTAGCTGTTTAATCTGAGATGGAGAGAGGGTAACCGACCCAATCCATAGCTGATTCATGGCACAGCTGGGAGGTCATCCCGCATCTGTGTGACT